TATCGTGACTACGTTATGATCGAGAACGACACCAACTAGCTTTTTGGTAGACGACTTCAAGGTTCTACGGTATAACGACTTAGACGACTAGAAGAATTATGTAGACGACTATGGTAGTTGATGATGATAGATGACGACTATTAGACTAGTTCATTTTTTACTTTTTGGGATCGTCATTGTAGCTTATGAACGTTGGGTGTATACGTCAATTATGATGGGATCCACTTAAGCCAACGTCTCCCGTGGCCAATGCGCGGAGCCGCGAGGCAAGCGCAAAGGAATACCAAGACGACTTAAGTGCTCAAGATGATGGCGTATCTTCGCAACGTATCTTGGTGTTGAAACGGCTGGACGTTTCACTCACGTTGAAGATGATGAGATTGATTGAACACCTCTGTTCTATCTGAGAGTTAGAGTTCTAGATTGATACTAGACAACCGTAGCTTACTGTGGCTACGTGTTCTCTCTTTGACTGTGAACGTGCGTCGTTTACGACTGGGAGCAGTTGCTCTTACGTTGTAATCTCGCTTGACTAGCACTTGGTCTATATGTAGTGGTCTCACTAGTGCGATTGAGTAGCAAATCCATTAGATCTAATTGTGATGTTGGGTTCCTACGTTAGTGAGAACTCTACGTGGTGAGGATTCCGGCTGAGCCAACCCGCGGTTTAGCAGGGGTACCTTCGGATCGAGTAGAAGTCCCTACGTCTGGTCTCATGCTTTGACAGCTTTGATCCAGCTCTCTACTACTCTTCTACTCTACTCCGTCATCTCCTGGCACCCCTGGCGACCGCGCAACGCCATGAAATCGAGTTATCCCTGTGGTGTCATTGTACCCATTCGGACCATAAGGACGAGTCAATGAGCTGACGAATAGGTTCAGTTTTGAATCTGCACCGGACAACAGACCCCGTATAACTTTCGCGCACACCACACTCGGGGGACATGAAAAACACTCTTAAGCACTACGAGACCCTTTGGGTGGCACGATTTACGTGAATAATTCATATATACGTAAGACTCTGTTCCAGAGTTATACTTAATTTCATGAAAGTGTGAATGATGCAATTGAATTGTCTCGGCATCTCCGTGGGTTGACTTATATCGAAGTAGTCGTAGCCTGAGCCGTAGTGGGCGACACAGTAGTGACCTGGAGTCCAGTGGGAGCCACAGTACTAGCGGCCACTGTAGTAGGCGAGACTGTAGTGGGAGCAACAGTAGTAGCTGCCACTGTAGTAGGCGAGACTGTAGTGGGAGCCACAGTAGTAGCGGCCACTGTAGTAAGCGAGACTGTAGTGGGAGCCGCAGTAGTAGCGCCCACTGTAGTAGCGGCCACAGTAGTAGCGGCCACAGTAGTAGGCGAGACTGTAGTGGGAGCCGCAGTAGTAGCGGCCACTGTAGTAGGCGAGACTGTAGTGGGAGCAACAGTAGTAGCGGCCACTGTAGTAAGCGAGACTGTAGTGGGAGCCGCAGTAGTAGCGCCCACTGTAGTAGCGGCCACAGTAGTAGCGGCCACAGTAGTAGGCGAGACTGTAGTGGGAGCCGCAGTAGTAGCGGCCACTGTAGTAGCCGAGACTGTAGTGGGAGCCGCAGTAGTAGCGGCCACTGTAGTAGCCGAGACTGTAGTGGGAGCCACAGTAGTAGCGGCCACTGTAGTGGGAGCCACAGTGGTAGCGGCCACTGTAGTAGCCGAGACTGTAGTGGGAGCCGCAGTAGTAGCGCCCACTGTAGTAGCGGCCACCGTAGTAGCGGCCACAGTAGTAGCGGCCACAGTAGTAGGCGAGACTGTAGTGGGAGCCACAGTAGTAGGCGAGACTGTAGTGGGAGCCACAGTAGTAGCGCCCACTGTAGTAGCGGCCACAGTAGTAGCGGCCACAGTAGTAGGCGAGACTGTAGTGGGAGCCGCAGTAGTAGCGCCCACTGTAGTAGGCGAGACTGTAGTGGGAGCCGCAGTAGTAGCGCCCCCTGTGGTAGCGGCCACAGTAGTAGCGGCCACTGTAGTAGCCGAGACTGTAGTGGGAGCCGCAGTAGTAGCGCCCACTGTAGTAGCGGCCACCGTAGTAGCGGCCACAGTAGTAGGCGAGACTGTAGTGGGAGCAGCAGTAGTAGCGGCCACTGTAGTAGCCGAGACTGTAGTGGGAGCCACAGTAGTAGCGGCCACAGTAGTAGCGGCCACTGTAGTGGGAGCCGCAGTGGTAACGGCCACTGTAGTTGGCGAGACTGTAGTGGGAGCCACAGTAGTAGCGGCCACTGTAGTGGGAGCGGCAGTAGTAACGGCCACTGTAGTAGGCGAGACTGTAGTGGGAGCCGCAGTAGTAGCGGCAACAGTAGTAAAGACTACTGTGGTGGGAGCCGTGGACAGAGTTGAGGTGGTCGAGACAGTGGTGGTAGTTGTTGTAGTTGTGGGGAAGCTGCTGCAGACTGACGGGCCGCAAGGCTGATCACCATCTTGACAAACAGCGACGTGGAGCCACCATTTGCAATATGATATCCTAGTGCCATATAAACCATCATTCAGCGATCGGCAATAAGCATCACAGTTGTCGCTCGGGCCCGTATGATCGTCAGGAGGAGCGGCAGTTGTAGGAGGATCACCAGTCGGGCACTCCGACGGGCGACACCGCTGATCACCTCCTTGGCAAACAGGCTCAGGTTTCCACCACTTGCAGTATGAAGATGGGCCATTAAGACCAACGCAATAGGCGTCACATGGAGCAGACTGGAATGGGTGGCCCCCGGCAGCAGTTGTCGGATCAACTGGAGGTGGCCAAGTCTGGGACTCACACACGCTATGGTCACTGCAAGGCTGATCACCGACTTGACAGACGGGTACCGGTAACCACCACTTACAGTAGGAGGCGGCGTCGTTGAGGCTCCTGCACATATCATCACAAGCTGTGTTGGGCCCCGAAGGAGCCGATGTAGTCGGGATGGGTGTGGAGACCTGCAGCTGTCGGATATTGTAGGAAGGCACAGTAAGGATAACAAGAGCAACGCCGATGATGGACATACTCAGTGGGTAGATATGAAACCTACAGAGATGACCATCATTGCACT